TACGCTATCATCGGTAGCAACTTATTGTATTTCCAACAATGTGGAATATAGTGTTCCACCCAACAACAATATCGCAGAAACGCTGGAGGGACATCCGTGGCCATTAGGGGCTAGATCAGGAGGAGCGGGCCCCACTAACACGTACGCCCAACCTCTGACTAGAAATCGCCCCAGCAGCCCTAGTCATTCCATAAGTTCCGCGACCTCACAAGCGACGAATTACAATGCGCAAGATATTCGGCGCATATCTGAATTGCTACAGGAACAGAGTGAGATACTAAAGCAGAGGGAAGCTCTGGTGATAGAACAACGTGCGTTTTTAGATCGGATCGACGCAATCCGTCTGGAGGATGACCCCGACGACCATCCGCCTGCAGTCCCGACACTGTTTAGCCGTAATGATAGGTCAACTCAACAAATACCGCCTACTCTAAATTTAGGCTGTGTTGCTACACCAAGAGAACGAGCATCGAACGTATGCCATCCGCCTCTTGAAAGTGGTTTTTTGCCTGGACTATTGAATCGTCAGCCTCCACTTAGCAATCCATCGGCCACTGTAATGCAGGCATTACTAAACAAAATCGAATCACTGGAACAACAACTGCAAGCGCGGCCAACAGCGAATAGAGGATGGCTTCCTCAACAAACAGCTGGTATGCCAAACCACCAATCCCCACTAGCGCCCATAACCAGCACTGCATATGGCGTATCTCCTCACCGACGTCTGACGAGTGACCAACTTGCGTCTCGTAAATGCCTCCCCAGAGAACTACCGAAATACAACGGCAAGCCAGCGGAATGGCCGCTCTTCTATGCCACTTACAATCAAACAACCGAGATCTGTGGATTTTCCGACGAGGAAAACCTGATAAGGCTCCGGCAAGCATTAGAGGGTCCAGCCCGCAACGCGGTTAAGAATCTGCTACTGCATTCTTCTTGTGTTCCACAAATCATTTCAACGGTGCAAATGAGATTCGGGCGTCCCGAACTAATAATTAGCGTGCTGCAGCAACAAATCTGCGAACTACAAACACCATCGGAAAGTCAACTGGAAACCATCGTAGACTTTGCTATCGCTGTGCAAAATATATGCGCAACTATTAAAGCATCGGGGCTTGCCAGCCACCTCAGCAACCCTGAATTGGAGCAAAAACTTGTGTCGAAGCTGCCTGGTTTACTACCAATGTACTGGGGAGTGCACAAGCAAGGCCTGTCAAACTGCAACCTACAGACTTTCAGTGATTGGCTCTTTCATCTGGCACAAGGAGCCAACTGTGTGCTCGTTCCAACTGAGCAAACGAAGGTGCGAAAACGTGGGGCTGTTAACCATCATCATAAAACGGTAAGCTGTATCGTTTGTAAGGAAAACTGTAGTGCTTTGTCTAATTGCGACTCTTTCAAGGAAATGTCTCGTAGCCAAAAATGGGACACTGTACGCCAGCTTAAATTGTGCCACCGGTGCTTGAAAAAGCATTTGTGGTCCGACTGCAAATCGAAGGGTACATGTAACGTAAATGGATGTACTCGCTACCACCACCCTTTACTGCACAACGAACCTTCGGTTGCCACTAACGAACAAACGTGTAAAGCCAACAAGAAAACCCAGATGGCTAATATCAACGCTCATAACGTTGGCGAAGAGGGACCACTTTTCCGCGTCCTACCTGTAGTTTTGCACGCGGGTGCTAATATTGTGTCGACATATGCCTTTATAGACGACGGCTCCTCTCTCACTCTAATCGACGAAGAACTGCTACACCAGCTGAATGTGAAGGGCACACCGCAGCCACTTTGCCTTCGCTGGACAGGCGATACACACCGCTACGAAGACGATTCAGTTACCGTCGACCTTGCCATATCATCCAAACAGGGAACTGAAAAATTTCCTATGAAAGCAGTACGTTCTGTTAAGAAGCTCGATTTGCCCACCCAATCGCTTGACGCGGCGAAACTGCAATCAAAGTTTAAATATTTAAGGGGCTTACCATTACAGTCGTATGGCAACGTAAAACCGCAACTTTTAATTGGGCTAAACAACGCCGCACTTGGCTCTGCCATAAAATCCAGATTAGGTGATGACTCCGCGCCCATAGCCGAGAAAACTAAGCTCGGGTGGACAGTTAAAGGTCACGGATCAATAGCACTTCAAGGCGCAACTCAATACGTCTACCACATATGTGATTGCTCTGAGCATAAGGAACTTCTTCAGGCTGTTAAATCCCACATATGTCTCGATAATTTAGGCGTGGTAGCCAATGCCGCAGCGTTAATGTCTAAAGACGATGAGCTTGCCGTAGAACAGCTAGAGCAACACACAGTTCGAGTAGGTGATCGCTTTCAAACTAGCTTGTTATGGAAGCATCCTAATATGCAGCTGCCAGACAGCCTGCCTATGGCACAATATCGCGCGAGATGCTTGCTTAAGAAAATGCAACGTGACCCCAAACTTTCTGAGCAGCTTCAAGTTAAGATTGCCGACTATCTGCGGAAAGGATATGCCAGGCGAATGACATCCGAGGATGCTGCCGCTGATAGATATTGGTACTTGCCTGTTTTTGCAGTGAGTAATGCTAACAAGCCAGGCAAGGTTCGCCTGGTGTGGGACGCAGCTGCTACGGTAAACGGTGTTTCGCTTAACTCTATGCTCTTCGCCGGCCCTGACCTGACAACGCCACTGCTATCAGTTTTATTCAAATTTCGACAAAAGCGCGTCGGCATCACTGCCGATATAGAAGAGATGTTCCATCAGGTGCGGATCCGTCCTGCGGATCAAAACTTTTTGCGTTTTTTGTGGTAGGAGCAAAACACTATAGAGCCGGTCACCTATGTCATGTCAGTGATGACGTTCGGGTCGAAATGTTCACCGAGCTGCACTCAGTTTGTAAAAAACAAAAACGCAGCTGAGTTTCGAGATGAATTTCCCCGTGCTGCTCGATGCATAGTAGAAAATCACTACGTTGATGACATGTTAGACAATGTGGACACCGAAGAGGAGGCAGTTCAGCTGGCACTAAACGTTCAATACATTCATGCCAAAGGTGGGTTCCATATTCGAAATTTTCTTTCAAACTCAGACCGTGTGTTGAAGGCTTTGAATGAAGATCAGACAAAGCGCTTTGCCTAAATTTCGAAAGTGAACTACCAACCGAAAAGGCATTAGGTATGTGGTGGATTGCATCTACAGACCATTTCGCCTTTAGAGTATCAGCCAAGTACAAGGAATCTCACTTATTAGTTCATCAACGTCGGCCGACTAAACGTGAAGTATTGAGTCTTGTGATGACAATCTATGATCCGCTTGGACTCATCGGATTTTACGTGATATTTGCGAAAATAATCCTACAAGAGATCTGGAGATCAGGTTGCGGCTGGGATGAACGCATTCCTGATGAGCAGTTTACAAAGTGGCTTCGATGGATTCGCCTTATTCCAAGAATTGAAGACAGCTGTGTGTTACATGCGTTACTCAGATGGTAAAATTGTTGACTGTGCGATGGTTTCTAGTAAAACTAGAGTCGCACCACTTAAGGTGATGTCTATTCCTCGGCTAGAATTGAAGGCAG